CAGGAAAAGGATTAGTGATCTGGAAGACAGGGCATTGGGACTCAACAAAGTAAAGTAGCAAAAAGAAAAAAAAATAATTTGAAAAAGTGAGGATAGCTTAAGGGGCCAATAGGACAACATCAAACAAACAAACAAAAAACATTTGCATTATAGGGGTCTCAGAAGGAGAATAAAGAGACAAAGGAGCAGAAAAATTATATGGAGAAAGAATAGCTGAAAACTTCTCCAACCTGAGGAAGAAAACAAATAACCAGATCCAGGAAATCCAATGACTCTAAAAAAGTCCACTGGAAGGGATCAACACCAGGACACATTATAATTAAAATGTCAACACCTGGGATTCATGGGTGGCTCAGCAATTGAGCATCTGTGTTGGCTCAGGGTGTGATCCTGGGGTCTGGGATCAAACCCCACATCAGGCTCCTTGCAGGGAGCCTGCTTCTCCCTCTGCCTGTGTCTCTGTCTCTCTCTCTGTGTCTCTCATGAATAAATAAATAAAATCTTTAAAAATAAATAAAAAATAAAATAAAATGTCAACAGTGAAATATAAGAAATAGTGAAAGGGATTTTGAGGGAAATGAGGGGAACTGAGTGGGAAAAATTAGAGAGGGAGACACACCATGAGAAACTCACTCTAACTCTGGGAAACAAACAAAGAGTTGTGGAAGAGAAGGTAGGTAGGGGGATGGGGTAACTGTGTGATAGGCACTGAGGAGGGATGGGATGGGATAAACACTGAGTGTTATACTATATGTTGGCAAATTGAATTTAAATTTAAAAAATGTAAAAAATAAATTAGTAAGTAAATAAATAAATAAAAAGTCAATGGTTAAAGAGCCTGCTTCTCCCTCTGCCTGTGTCTCTGCCTCTCTCTCTTTGTGTGTCTCTCATTAATAAATAAATACAATCTTTAAAAGAAAAAAAAAAAGAAAATTTTAGGCCAAAACCCAGGATGTGCATAAAATGCAAAATCCTCAACAATTATTTGCAAACTCAATTCAATATTAAAATGGTTTTGCATAATGATTAAGTGGAATTTATTTCTGGGATGCAAGGATGGTTCAACATCTGCAAATCAATCAATGTGATGTACCACATTAACAAAATAAGGGATACAAAATTCACATGATCATCTCAATAGATGCAGAAAAAGCCTTTGATAAAGTTCAACATCCATTTAAAATAAAAATGCTCAACAATATGGGTATGGAGGGAATATATCTTAACATACTAAAAGGTCATATTTGACAAGCCCACAGCTAATATCATACCGATTGGTGAAAAGCTGTTGCTCTATATCTAGGAAAATGACAAAGATTCCCACTCTCTCCACTTTTATTCAGCATAGCACTGGATATACTTTCCAGAGCAATTTGGGTAAAAGGAGAAGCAGAAGGAGGAGGATAGAGAGGGATAGGAAGAAGGAGAAGAAAAGGAAGAAGAAATGAAAGGCATTCAAATTGGACAGGAAAAAGTAAAACTCCCTAATCATAGATGACAAAATTTTGTACACAATACCCTTAAAGACTCTATTAAAGAACTCTTAAACGTGATAAGCTAATTTAATTAGCTAATTCAGTAAAGTTGCAGGATACTAAATCAATATACAATATCTGTTGTTTTTTTATACGCTAACAACAAGCTATCAGGAAGAGGAATTAAGAAAACAATTCCATTTACAATTGTCCCTAAAAGAATAAAATACTTAGGAACAAATTTGATAAATTTAATTTAAGGAGATGAAAGACCTGTACAATGAAAACTATGGTAATGATTAAAAAATTGAAGACACAAATAACTAGAAAGATATTCCACGCTCATGGATGGGAAGAATTAGTATTATTAAAATGTCCATATTACTCAAAGTAATCTATAGATTTAATGCAACCTCTATTCAAAATTACACGCCTTACATGCCTTTTTTTCACAGAAATAGAACAAACAATCTCAAAACCACAGAAGATCCCCCAAAACCAAAGCAATATCTGGAAAGAACTAAGCTGAAGGCATCATGCTCCCTGATTTCCATGTATATTACAAAGTTTTAGGAACCAAACTGCATGGTGTTGAAATAAAAACAGACCCATAGATCAGTGGAACAGAAAAGGGAGTCCCTAAATAAATTCATGCATATATGGCCAATTAATTTATGAAACAGGAGGCAGGAACATACAGTGAGGAAAAGACAGTCTCTTAATATATGGTGTTAGAACAACTGGAGAGATACAAGCAACAGGATGAAATTAGACCACTATATACTCAATGTAAAATTAACTAAAAATGGGCTAAAGACCGGAATGCTAAGACCTGAAACCATAAAACTCCGAGAAGAAAACAAATGCTATCAGTTGTTTGACATCGATCTTGGTGATGAATTTTTGGATCTGATTCCAAAGTCAAAGATAAGAAAAACCTCAGTGAAGATATCACCTCAAAACTGTCAGAATGGCTACCATCAAAAAGACAAGAAATAAGTGTTGGCAAAAATGTAGAGAAAAAAGACTGTCATGCACTGCTGGTGGGAATGTAAACTGGAACAGCCATTATGGGAAACAGTATGGAGGTTCCTTAAAATATTAAATCTAGAACTATACCATATGATACAGAAATTTCTCTTCTGGGTATTTATCTAAAGAAGACAGAAATACAAATTTTGATGTTATATATGCACCCATATGTTCATTGCAACATTATTACAATAGCCAAAATATGGAAATATCCTTAGCTTCCATCAATGGTTAATGAATAAATAAGTGGTATATATACAATGGAATACTCAGCCATAAAAAAGAATCAAGTCTTGCCATTTGCAACAACATGGATGGAATTCTATGGAATTACACTAAGTAAAATCAGTCAGAAAAAGACAAACACTGTATGATTTCTCCTACAGAGGAATCTAAACAACAAATGAATAAACAAAACTAATACAGAGATTGGTGGTTGCAAGAGGGGCTGGGAGAAATGGGTGGATGAGGTCAAGAGTTACAGTTACAGTTATAAAATAAATAACAGCTATAAAATAAATGAGTTATAAAATAAATAAATCGCAGGGATATAATTTACAGCAAGATCATTATAGCCAATAATACTGTGTTGCAAATTTGATAGGTGCTGAGTTAATCCTAAAAGTTCTCATCATAAGAAAAAAGTTTTGTAACTTTATATGGTAATAGATGTTAACTGGACTTATTGTGGTGATCATTTCACAGTGTATGCAAATACTATATTACTATGTTGAAATGAATATAATCTTATATGTCAATCATACCTCATCTTAAAAGAAAGGCATGTGGTGTTCAGAAATTCCTGTTATAAAGATGTGTCTAACTCACAGACGCACCAAATAAGTAAATAAAGACAACCAGTATAAATATTGCATTTTATGTAACTTTTATGGTAACCCATTTGAGTTCTCCATTTTAAAATGCTGATTTGTTCCATATTTTAAGGCTTAATTACTTAAGTAACTCTTAAAAGAAGTTAATACATCGGTATTAACTAAGTGACTCTTAAAAGAAGAAATACCATTGGCCACAAATATTTTAAATGATGCTCAGTGAAGATTTTCCTTCTTTTCTTAAAGTGATCGTTCTGTATGCAAGCAGCTGTTACCTTAATTATCCCATATCTGATATAAAATTTATGTTCTTAGAGTTAAAAGTGAGGATTTCTTAAAAATCCGAAATAGTGTTTATATGTTTTTTTCTGAATAGGTATCACATTTATCCATTTTATCACAACATGGTATATAAAACAAAGCAAGAAATGCATTATTATAATAGTATAAACAGCATCTAAAATGTTCAAAATTATTTAGAAGAATATGCTTACTGCATATCTTAAACGTGTCTATGTACAAACATACAAATATTGACATAACTACCTGTAAAATGATACAGGTCTTTGGAATGCACAAATGTAATATTCAATGTTTCAGTCATTTGCTAGAAGCCAAAGATGTCTATAGTTATTTGTGTTTTTTTTTTTTCTGAGAGAGACATTTCAAAAGCATACAAGGGTGTACAAAACCAGTTACTTAGCTATCAAGCCTCTGACAATCCAGCCCCACCATCTCAACAAGATTTGATTACTCTATTTTGGTCTTATCTGAAGTAATTTAGAAAGGAAAAAAAATCAGATTTAGTTAATATGATGTTAACATCACTATGCTACTTATAACGCATTATAGGTGGCAAACATTATTTGCATTAATCGTGATTTTATTCTATATGGAGAAAGTAATTACATATCTAAAGAAACAACTTCTATTTACATAGAAATGGGGTCTGCAGCATATTTGTAAAGTTGGAGATCTTCAAAGGTCTCAGGACATATCTTTTCTAAGCACCAAGAGTTTGCTTTATAATACTAGATTACTAGGATGACAATACTGCCACTAAATATTCTGATTTTTATAATACCCACTTAAAATATGTTCAACTATCTAGAGCATGGCTTACAGTTAATCACAAACAAGCTGAATTTGTCAACATCATTTTGCAAGCACTATCATTATTTCCAAGTGGATATTTCTTCCATGGCTGATAACTGAACATTCTAATTATAAATAGTACCATAAATTGCTGGAATCCATAAGAAATAATGTTTAAGGGTCAAAGAATCATACAGGCAATTGGCCATTTTTACACTGGAATAGCAAAGCACATAGTTTTTCAACATGAAGTATAAGAACTTTCCAAGCAGGCAAGCAAATAACATATCAAAAAGCACGTTTACTCTGTATTTGGCAAGATAAAGCAAAGCAAAAAGATCTTATGGAAAGAAACCTGTTAGGCTGCATATTCTGCAATGTCTTTGCAAGTAAACTATTTTTCTCTCCTAGAAAAGAAAATAGTTCATATTTCTCATTATATGCATGCACAGTACATCCCTGCTATGGCCCAGGTATACAGAACCCCAGAGATCCAGATGTTCTGAGATATTGTGAGATATAGAGATTACTAATATAGAAGATTATACAACACATGTAAACTCACCCTTCTAATCTTACATCCGGTAGACTTCTGTTAAGGGCAATCAAATCACTGGCCATAAGGTTAAACTGATTGATTTTAAACAGTTCTTTCATTTTCTCCTGGTCATCCTTAGGAATCAGCACAGCCTTTCCCATTTCTCCTGGCCCTTCTTGATTTCTTGAAATAACAGCTGTAAGACACACACAGGTACACACACACATACAAACATACAGATAATGAACTGAATAAACTCATGTGTTAGATTAGATTTTACAATCTATTATTTATACACTGGCTTAATAATATAATCATCCAGTCTTTATTGCTTACCTACAAACCATACACTACACTAATGAAACGCCTATTTTAATCCATTATCTCAATGCTGTGTGTGGTCTTTTAAGTGAAGAAATATTACATGACTTGATTAATCATTAAGATTTAATAATTAAGCAAGTCAAACCCCAAATCTTAAAACTTCTCTGTCATATTTTTAAAAAATATTTTATTTATTTATTCATGAGAGACACACACTGAGAGAGGTGAAGACACAAGCAAAGGGAGAAGCAGGCTCCACACAGGGAACCAATGTGGTACTCGATCCTGGGACTCGGGGATCACGACCTGAGCCAAAGGCAGTGGCTCAATCACTGAGCCACCCAGGCGTCCCATCTGTCATATTTTTTTAAATAAAATTATTAGAGAGGGGATGACCTTGGATACTGGGCAAAGTTGTACAAAATAAAAGAGAACTTTTGAAAATATACCAAGATAAATTTATTCTCACATTCAACTAAATGTTTTGATATTTTACATGTCTCTCCTCCCACTACATCTTTATAAAAGCAAGCAACTTTGATAATCCTTCATCTCAATTGCAATTTGACTCCCCGTCAAAGCATTTTCAAAAAAATACAAGGACTTTCATAGTGGTGACATATAATTTCAAATGTCAAGTTGAATTTGAAACTATGTGCCCAGTAAGTGGAACTTCACAACAATATTCTAGGCTTGATTATTTATTAAGATAACTTAGGATCCCATATAAGATTAATGTTTTGGTCATTGCCCTACAAGTTATCACTACACTAATGTCCCTTTTTGCTCCAAAGTACATGTTTCAATGTGTGTGTGTTTGCATGCATATGTGTGTATGTATGTTAATATATAATTTTAAAAATCTAGTCAACCCTTAATTTACTCTTCATAATGATGTTAAGTTAAAATGAAAGGAGTGTGGTCTCGTCTCGACTCTTACAATGTGTTGCTATTTCATAGTTCCTAACACATTAATTGTACTGAAATGAGCTTCCCACATTACTTAATAGGGCAAATATTTGGATCCAGATTACCTTAAAAATTGGCAAAATTTATAAAGGATATAAAGCTTGTCAAAATAATTTGTAAATTATTATACTTCATAAAAATACAAATTCCAAAATAATAAAATAGGCTTGAAACTAGAAAATAGTAAACAAACTTTTGTCTTCCTTGATGTTTATAGTTAGAGAACACCAAGCCTGATATTGCTAGGACTAATAATAAACAGTTGGATCACCCAGCTGACTATTACCTTTGAAAGGTTATCCTGACTTTGGAATGGCATGAGTCAGACTATAAAGGAGAATAAGTGTCTCTGAGAACCTTCAGATATGAGCATCAAGAAGGTAATAAGCCTGGAAATCCTCTGATACACAGGAAAATAGTAAGAATTGGGGAAAATTTTAAATGAAAAAATTACGTGTTTCCAACTTGAAACTATTTAAGAAGCTCTATCATCTGAAGAAAGTGTCTAAAGAGCCTCATTCAGTTTATGAAGCAAAAGTAGAAATGATGGCAGGAATTTTATGAGAAAGCACATTTTAATCAATTTAAGAAATAAAATTCTAACAGCAATATTTTACTTTCAGAGTTAGTAGCTTATTATCCCCCAAATAAGATGAAGTTAGTGGAGTTGGCTTTCAGTGAATTTGTGCTCTTGGTGAGATGCTGGATTCAGAGAAGTACTGAGGTTCCTTCCATTCCTAGGGTTTCTTTTTCAAGTACTGATACCACAAAAATTGTTAATGAATTTCCATAGTTCTCTATAACTTTCAAATAAAGAACATATCAGGCTACATGATACCTACTTACCATTAATATTTTATATGTGTGTCCTATTTTTTTTAATTAAGGTTACAGACCAGAATATGTCATCTATCTGTATGTATGGAGATATAAAGATATATTCATATACTTTATCTATCTATAGACCAGTGTATGTCATCTCTCTCTCTATAGATAGATAAGGCATACATGTGTATCTATATCTCCATACATACAGATAGATGACATATTCTGGTCTGTATCCTTAATGCCAGAAAAGCAGGATTAATTTTTTTTCTGACGATTTTTTTGACTTTTGCAGACCATAAAGAATGACCTTAAAAACATTAAATATCTCAAAAAATATAACAGAGAAAAAATAAAAATGGCTCATTAGTCCACTTCCCAGAGATAACCACTATTTATATTTGGTTCATATTCTTTTCCCTCTTTCTGTTGATATAGACTAGTCAAAATATATTAGTGTCTTTTCACACACATGGAATAATACTATTAATACTAAAACTTTATTTTTTCAAAGTATTTCTTGCCTCTACTTTTACGTAGATTGATCTTATTCTTTTTAGTGGCTTTGTTGTATTCTATTCAATAAACCTAAGTTTATTTAACTGATATCCCAGTTGAATAGGGGGCTTGTTTTCAGATCTTTACTATTATAAATGATGCTGCATAATATTTATAACAATATTATCTTCATTACAAAGACTAATAAACATCTCTCAAGTACTCATGAGGTGCCACTTTCTTACACACTTTATAGACATTTCATTCAATTCTCAAAGGATAGTGAAATCTAGACATGTTATGTAACTTGCCTAAGCTCACCTATCTAGAAAGTCATGCGGTTAGAAACGACGAATACCCACCATGTGCTTCGACATGGATGGAGCTGGAGGGTATTATGCTGAGTGAAGTGAGTCAATCGGAGAAGGACAAACATTATATGGTCTCATTCATTCAGGGAATGTAAAAAATAGTGAAAGGGATTAAAGGGGAAAGGAGAGAAAACGAGTGGGAAATATCAGAGAGGGAGACAGAACATGAGAGACTCCTAACTCTGGGAAACGAACTAGGGGTGGTGGAAAGGGAGGAGGGCGGGGTGTGGGGGTGACTGGGTGACGGGCACTGAGGGGGGCACTTGATGGGATGAGCACTGGGTGTTATGATATGTTGGCATATTGAATTCCAATAAAAAATATATATATTAAAAAATAAAGTAATGAAGTGGTAATTACAACTCAGGTCTGTCTGATTCTAGAGCTAAAGCTCAACACTCACTCAGCAAATACTCCTGTGCATGCATTTTTGTATGACTTGTGTTAGTACACACGGTACATTTATAAACATGGTATCGCTGAGTCAAAGGTTATGCAATATTTGAACTTCAAGATGTATTTTCAAATTAATCTCCAAAAAGTTTTACCAATTAGCAATTCCTTATTGCAGAAAATCAGAGCACTACTTTCTCCATACTCTTGTCAGCATTGTATAGTATTATCTTCCCCCCCCAAAATGATAGGCAAAATAATTATATCTTAGTATTGTTTCAATTTTCATTTCTTTAATCATTCACTGTTTTAGTAATAAAATGTATATATTTAAATATCATTCTTGTCATCAGCTGTTGCATTATACCTCATATGCCTATCATCTCTGTTTTGGAGAAATGGCATAAAATTCTCAAGAAAGTTGGTTTGTGTGTGTGTGTGTGTGTGTGTGTGTGTGCAGTACATTATTCATTTTCTGTATCACCACATATATCCAAATTCCTTGTTTTATTTCTGTCCTTAATGCCTTTGGAATTCCTTTCTGGGGTAAACACAGCCAGTTGTCATGCTGCAAGTTCCCATTATTCAATTCAACAATCAGTTAAGGTTTCTTTTTTTACTTTTTTATTTATTTTTAAATAAATAAAGAGAGAGAGAGGCAGAGACACAGGCAGAGGGAGAAGTAGGGTGCCTGATGCGGGACTCGATCCTGGGACCCCAGGATCACACCCTGGTCCGAAGGCAGCCGCCCAACCTCTGAGCCACCCAGGGATCCCTCAGTTAAGGGACTCAGCAGGACTTGGGCAAGGTAACCGACAAGAGAAGACTAGGAACACACCATTTAAAGTTGCTTTTTTTCCTCATAAAAATGATGGCAGTTATGGAAAGAGAGAAGAAAAACTTTTTGAAAACTAACGTGATATGAATTAATACATGTATACATACATGCATATGTACATGTTATTTTAAAAGAGCAAAGAGCTCAAGGGAAAAATAACATTAAAAGAGCTGTTCAAAAATTTTCTTAAATTTTAAAAGTCCTTCAGAAAATAAAAAAGTGATTAAAGAATTTGAGGTCAAGAATTCTTAGAAATTAAGAAATCAACTCACCATTTACATTTCTTTTAGATTCCCTCTATAGGGGCACCTGAGTGGCTCATGGATGACCATCTGCTTTTGGCTCAGGTCGTGATCCTGTGACCCCGGGGATCGAGTTCGACGTGGGCCTCCCCGCAGGGAGCCTGCTTCTCCCTCTGCCTGTGTCTCTGCCTCTCTCTGTGTGTCTCATGAATAAATAAATGAAGTCTTTAAAAAAAATAAAAAATAAATAAATTCCCTTTATACACTCCAACAGGTGTATATCACATTGCAGAAAAAATGCACCAGAGTCCCCAAAATGCTACCAAGCCTAGGAAGCAGTCAGGAGTTAACATTTATTTCAAGTGGAAAAATGTGACACTCAGCATCTTATGGCATGAAGATCAAGTTAAGGCACACAAAAGTACTTGGATTTTGCAATATATTCAAAGGTACAGCCATTTGCTTTGCTTAGCATTCTCAAGACAATAGTTTTGTCAGTGGTAGTAAGTATGATCATGTTATAGAATTAACATCAATAAAAACAAAACTGTCATAAACAGTATCCTTAAACTTAGAACCAGTTAGCAGCACCTATAATCATTCTCCTTAATTATTCTCATTTTCTTAGAGGAGAATAGATAACAACTTAATGTGTATCAGGTTAAGTGTTTCCTCCCTAAAGTTAAATACTTTTTTATAATAACCTCTAATGAATGCATGTTTGACATTTTATATT